TCTGGGTTATGCATATCCTAAACTGTATTTAGGTTCTAAGCTCTATCTAGGTTTCAGATTATGTCTATGCTCCAGGTACTGTCTAGTTTCCAAACTGTGTATAAAACCCAATTCCTATCTAGGTTACAGACTCCATTTAAGTCCTAAAAGTTTCTCTATTTAGGTCCTTGACTCTAAGTTTCAGACTATGTCTAAATCCTAGGTTCTATTAAGATTATAGAGTCCATGTAGGTTCTAAGCTCTACTTAGCTCTTAGCTTCATTTATGTTCCAGATTATGTCTAGATCTTATGTTTCATCTAACTTGTACTTGTTTGTTAGATACTTGAGTGTATCTTGGTACTAGATTCTATCTAGATTATAGTACACCTAGGTCCTAAAATCTAAATACCTTGCAGATTCTATGTAGATACCATACTCTATCTAGGCTCCAGAATATAGTCCCAAAAATATCTAGGTCCCAGGTTCTATATACGTCACAAACCATATTTAACTTCTACGGCAACTGAGTTCTATCTGCATCGTAGACTTTATGTAGATCTTAAATTTCATTTAGCTCGTACAATCAGTAGATGCTCTATAATAGATGCATTTCCTCAGATTCTCATTTATATCTAGCTCCTAGGTTCTATCAAAAGGTTCTATCTAAACCCTAAGTCCTACATTTCATCTAGGCCCAAGATTCTATCTCTCTCATTTCTACAGAAGCTTCATGTTATCTATGTTCCAAACTTTATGTCGATCCGTGGTTTTATCAAGATCCCATGTTCTACAGTGGTTCTAGAATTTATCTAGAAATTCAGAAAACTCCGTGAGGAATTCATTGCAATTAACATTCATAAATGAACGAAAGGAAAACAACAGAGGAACAATACAAACTTAACATCCTGTCTATTGATATAACCTCTTACCTTTGACAAGCACGCGTGACACACTCACGGTTAATATGTGACAAATTTTACTGTTTTACGAAATTTGAATGCGTTTGAAGTCCGATCAGAGTTTCTCAAGGATTCCTGAATACAAAATTTACATAACATTTAAACGTTCATTATTTGTTTTAATATTATATATATGAATAGTTCTGCCACACCTGACACATTACGCGGTAAATGATTAACCTCTTGCCGTACAATTTATTTGTCAGATGTGTCAGTCAAATTATTCACAGTTATAACATTAAAACAAACCAAGAAAATTAAAATGTTGTATTTTATATTCAGCGATCCTTGACTATAAAAATTATAGTTAGACCTAAACTCCAAGTTGAAGAGTATTAAAAATGAGTAAGGTTTGACACATTTGTGAATGCGTCACGAGTGAAACTCGTCAAAGTACGTCAAGAGGTTAATAATAAATTCTAATTAATATTATATGAATTGCACGAACCGCAAATGGAATACTCGGACTATAAAATCGAACAAGTACGATCCTTTTTTGTCTGTGTACATATAAACGTAAGGTAACCTTAAAGGTAAGCACCTGGCCGACGACGAGCAAATCCACAGGTGCGGTCGAAAGGGTGGTCAGGTCGCACGGAAATGCCTTTGAATCGACGGAACACGGTCGTCGACGAAGACGAAAACGACCCTTGTACATGTACGTGCACACGTTCGAAGGTCTTGCCTCGCTCTCCAGAGCTCTTCAAGGTAAAGTGTAACCTCGATCGTTTCCGATTCACAGGGCGACAACCTTCGTTCCATTCGAAACGAGACGTGCATTTTCCATCGTGCTCCCCGGGCTCTTTATCTCCCGCGGAGGAAATTAAATTTCCCGTGTGAAAAGACCGGCCAAGAAACGAACAAAGTTTTTCTTATCGGTGAATTGGCGCGAAAACGGTTCCGTTTATTGTTCTCGCTAAGCTACCGTGCAAACAACGAGCCTGAAAGAACGACCCGGTTCGACGACGATGGATAAACGCGGAAAATTACTTTGGAACGCTTCTCGTCCCGATTTCATTGCTATCAATCCGCTAGTTATCTTCAGTTTCTGGTAATTCTTCCTCGAGATAGGATTTTGACCGGCACAATCGGCCTCTTCGTCAAACTCACCGTGAATCGTGACTTATTACCGTCGATAAATTGAAGGCGAAGCAATTTCATGCTGCCTGGTATATTGGAAATTGTTACTAATTCGGGGGATTAATTTCGAGCCGAGTGTCATGTAACGTTGGGAATTCGAGGAACGCTCGATTTCGGTATCGGTGATGTTTGATGCGATTTCGTGACATAAAAGTATTACTGACTGAAACTTTCAACTTGTCAAATTAAAGCTTAAGACTTACTGAAAATTTCTGTATAAGTGCACCATTAGCACTCATAATATTAACAAAGTTATAAATGAATAAAGGAAGCTACATTAGATGTGTAACAAATCACTCATTTCAAAAGGTAACAGATATCTAAACTTCGCAAGAAAATTCATGACAGAAAAGTATCTCGGAATGAAGCTTGTAATATATCAAATTAAAGGTCCAGATCCACTGAAAATTTCTATATAAGTGCGCCGTTAATACTCCTAATATTAACAAAGTTATAAATGAAAAAAGGAAGCTACTACACTAGATGTGTAACAAATCACTCATTTCGAAAGGTAACAGATATCTAAACTTCGCAAGAAAATTCATGACAGAAAAGTATCTCGGAATGAAGCTTGTAATATATCAAATTAAAGGTCCAGATCCACTGAAAATTTGTATATAAGTGCGCCATTAATACTCTTAACATTAACAAAGTTATAAACTAAAAATGAAAACTATTACATCGCGTTGTGTACCAAATAGCTTACTTCTAGTCAATCATATTGTATTAAAGATAATAACGGTGCACATATATATTTTTTTCATAAAGCTTCAAGCTTCAAATTGATATGCAATACGTCACGTTTGGTAATACTTTTCTGTGACAAAACTGAATTAGACTTTTTAGCAACCAAATTGGATATTCGATAAAATTCATCAATACTCTTTGCTGCAATCAGGTCATTTTGCGCGAGGGACATTAACGGTGCATTTAAATAGTTATTTTCGTAAAGCTTTGAGCTTAAAATTCATATATAATAAGTGTCTTTTTGTGATACTTTTCTGTCACGAAATTACATTATAAATTTTACATTTCGAAGCTAGATCCCTGATACAGAACGTCAACATTGTTATCTGCAACTGGCAATCAGCCATTTGGTATCAAGAACATAAATGGCGCATTTATACCGTTATTTTCGTCGAGCTTTTATCTTCAAAGTGATATACGATAGGTGCTATTTGGCAATACTTTTATGTCATGAAATTGTATTTGACTTTTTCTTTTCGAATCTGATTATTTGATACAGCATATCGACACTCTTCGCTGCAACTGGCAATCAGCCATTTTCTATTGAGAATACTAACGGTGCATTTACGTGGTTATTTTCGTGATGCTTTTAGCTCGAAACGGCTGTACGACAAGTGCTATTTGGCAATTCTTTTATGTTATAAAATAGCATCAGACTTTTTACGCTTTCCCATCCGCGTATTGTTTCTCAAGACAATCCTTGCGACTCTCGACAACAAAAGAACATCGATACAGATCCTTACTTGAGATCTCAAGTAATAAAAAGTTTAATCACGTGTACCGAATGAGAATCCGATTAGCAAAGGTTGAATACAATTGTTTCTATCGGTGAACGGGAAGTAAATGGGAAGCGATTATCAAAGTTAATCGGTTAAAATGAATGCGCGGTTGCATAAAATGCGACCGTTGGTTCCCGATCGATTAATTTGATTAATCTTAATTTAATATTCACGTAGATTCTAAAACGCCAGCCGGGAGCAATTTGGTAATCCAATGCATCTATAAAATAGCGTGGCGAGAGTGCGGCTTCGTTTTATTGAATTTTCACACGCAAAGGCCGGCTACGGAACCGAATTTAACGATACATTATCGAAAAATTCGACTGTCGAAATATCTATATTTAATTACTCTCTTTCTCGATCGAATTCAATTATTAACCCCTTGCCGTTTCATTAATTCACCGGCTGCATCAATCAAAGCTAATTATTCGTTGGTACACTCTTAAAACAAGTAAAAATAGTGAAACAACATTTCTATTTCAATTATTCTAGCTGTAAACTATAATTTGATTCAAAGCGAAAGGGTTATGTAAATTAAAGTTAGGTTTGTACTTAAAATTCAAGAAAGTGCGAGATGTAATTATGTTTACAATTACAATTGAAATTACAATTTCGTTGAAAATATTAGTACAAGTTATTGCATCCGATATGCGCGTGCGTCACGAGTGCATCATCATTGCGTTCCTAATGTCACTAGTGCGTCGAAAGTGCGTCATGAATGCGTCACGAATTCTACATTAGTGTGTCACGAATGCGTCACGAATGTGTCGTGAGTGCGTCATGAGTGCGTCCCTAGTGCGACATTGGTGCGTCATGAACGCGTCACGAATGTTTCGCGAGTGCGTTATTAGTGCATCATGAATATGTCACGAGTGCGTCATTGATGCGTCACGAATGGGTCCCTAATGCGTCACGAATGCATCGCGATTGTGTCATTGGTGTGTCGTGAATACGTCCCTAGTGCGTCACGAATGCATCCCTATCTCGTCACGAATGCATCGCGATTGTGTCATTGGTGTGTCGTGAATACGTCCCTAGTGCGTCACGAATGCATCCCTATCTCGTCACGAATGTAGCGCGAGTGCGTCATTGGTGCGTCAAGAGTACATCACGGATCTATCACGCAATCATAAAGAATGTGTCACGAATTCATCACGAATGTGTCACGAAATCGTCACGAATGTATTACTAGTATGTCAGGGTGTATCAAAGAGTGCGTCACGAGGATGCATAATTAATTACACGGCAAAGGGTTAACGATACGGTACACGACTAACCATAATTTATGGACAGGTAGTCTTCATTGAGAAAGTTAAGCGCGGTATGCTTGAAACAGCTGTGATTGTTCTTGAATAATTACTAAATCAATAATATTGCATGCAAAATGTAACTCACGATGTTTGACGTGCAGCCTAGGTACGGGATCTTGCGGCCAGGCCACGTTTTGCGCGGCTAAGCTGATTAGCGCCAAAATTCGCAGCGACGTGCTCATTTTGGAAGCGAGTGGCCCTGCAGGCTGCTATTTTATGAATCAGCGGTTGCTTTTGATCCTCGTCATCGCCGCTCCGATCGTCATTCCTGCAACAAAAAGTCATTATCATGTTAATGTAGTTAATTACGACACAATTAACGCGTTCACGCCGCTACTCGTTTAAAATTTCGCGATGAACGAGACAAGTACGTGCAAGTTACGAAATTACGTTTTTATACTTAATTACTGGTCTAAGTGATCGGTTCTGTACACTGCTGTATGTTAAGTATTTGGCATTAATATACGAACGTGAAATTTGGAAGTTTTATCTTTGGATTGTGAAGAATAAAATTACGTAATAGTATCATAAATAGTAACGCATTTAATAGAATTATTAGCTTTAATTTAAAGTTACTAGCTATAATATTTTATATGAAATATAAAAATATTTTATATGAAAGTTCTATATGAAACTTGAAACCAATCATTTTGACTGAACACCTGGGACAGCTTCTTCCAACTCGTGACATCAGTATTACGAAATATTCGAAAAAGAGATTCAAATGTGAACGTATTAAATTAATCTACAAATTCGTATAAAACACAATATGTCGGAACAGTAAGGGACCGTTTTAAATTTAAGGAAAACTAGCACGATCTATTAAAACAATATTTTATCTGAAAACAGTATACTTCTCCTACAAGACACAACAATCATTATTAGAATAGATATTTAGAATAGACATTATTAGAACCTTTCGTCACCGTGTCACAAAATCACAGGCAAGTGCAACAAATTGCTCGCGTTGAATATTGCGAGGATCTTATCAAAACAGCCAGACGAAACTGTACATTCCTGGAATCAATTGTAACTAGTGATGAGACTTGGTGCTTCAAGTATGAACCTCAAACAAAGCGCCAAAGTGCTACGTGGAAATCTCCAAGCTCTCCAAAATCAAAAAAATTGCGATTCCAGAAGTCCCGAGAGAAGTATGAACCTCAAACAAAGAGTATGAACCTCAAACAAAGCGCCAAAGTGCTACGTGGAAATCTCCAAGCTCTCCAAAATCAAAAAAATTGCGATTCCAGAAGTCCCGAGAGAAGACAATGTTAAATTGCTACGATTCTAAAGGAATTATACTTCGGGAATTCGTTCCACAGGGACAAAATGTTAATGGCGAATATTATCTGGGTGTTATGGAACATTTGTGGAAGAGGATTGTTCGTGTGAGACCCGAATATCGAATGCTGGGAAGTTGGTTTCTGATGCATGATAACGCACCATGTGAACTGTCGCTGTTCGTGAATTTTTGGCGAAAAAACAAATCTGTTCCAACATCCTCCAAATTCTGACCTATCTCCATGTAATTACTTCCTTTCTCCAGAACTGAAATTAGTTATAAAAGGAACATTTCATGACACTTATACAAGTCTAAAGAGCTGTGACAATAGTGTTTGATTCCTTAAAACGAAATTAAAAAATCTATGTTAACGTTGCGTGAGCCCAGCGGTGTATTGATGCGCATATATTTTGAATAAAAAAAATTAATTTTCGCAGAATAACTAATTCTATTCTTTTTGTTTAAAAAGCTCCGTTATTTTTCCGACATACTGTGTAGCTCGAAATTTGGACTCGGTAACTCGGTGTCAACACTCAATATGGGAGCGTTAAGAGTTAAGGTGCATCTACCCTAATCGTGAATATATTCGAAGATAGAAACAGCAGTGTAAGGAAAGAGAACAAATAGAAGCTGCAGCTGGCGACCTCTCTGCATAATGCATACCATCGTCGTCTTGTTCATCGACTCGACTCGGCTCCGGGTCTTCTCCGTTCCTTCGTTAGCCTTTTATCTCACCCGCTACCATCTTCTTTCTCTTACCTTATTCAAGAACTCGTGCATGTATATATAAGTTCTCGTCGAAAAAGAACAAAGAGGAGCTCGCGTCTGCTCGCGTCCTCATCCCCCTTGTTAAGAAACTGGGCAGGATTTTGAAGAAATGCTTGGATTTTTAACGCGACCGCGCGCGAAACTTTTGTTCCGGCGACAAACAACATCTTTGATAAATCGTATCTCGGTGAGAACCCATTTATTTACTCGCGTTTGCGATAACTCGATGTAAAAAGATACGCGAAGAAAAAAGTTCACCCTGTTTTCTCTTTTAATTATATTAAAATTCTACTGTGGAGATTCTCGCAAATTTAGCTGACGGAATATTGTCCGGACTGTCGGCGCACGGTAAATAGACCGTAGCAGAAATTAGGAACACGAATTTTTAGCTTGATGAAATGAAAATTCAATGTGGGTCAATTCTTAGATTCAATTCATTTCTCCTACATAAATTTTTGTACACTTATAAAAAAATTTTGTATATTCTTTTATAATAGTATTTAAGTGTCATTGCAAGGTAATTGTGAGTAATTTAATTTTACTTTATTTTCAGTTTGAAATTAAAACACTTCATAACCCATTGGTTTTTTGTTATAAACAAAAAATTTATAAACTTTGAAAATTTAGAGAAGAGGGTCAAATGTTCAAATTTGGAGAAGTTGAAAAATTTTTAAATACAGAAATTTTCAAACTTAGAAATATACAAACTACAATTTTAGATATTCAGTAATCTCTAAAGTTAATTTTCAAATTTTTGGTTCTACACAAAGAAACAAAGAGTGTTTGTACAAAGCTCTGTTTTCGGGAAAATTGCTTTGAAAAATCCGTCCGGGCGAATATTTAAAGTTGCTTTTCTCGAATACAAGCCCTTCTATAAAAAAAATGCTTTTGTTGATTTTTGACGAATTTTTCGCGTAGAATCACCCGACTTTTAAAACAAAATCATTCTACGAAACTTCGAGTTACTGTTATAAAAAAAAGTCTAGCTATTTGAAGTTAACATTCTACACTACATTTATGCTTATTACTTTCAATAATTCAAACTGAGAATAATGCAAATAATGAGAAATTACGATTTAATGAGGTTACGATTTCTCTTTAGAAATCTGAAAGTTGAAAACTTGCAAATCATGATGTATGAAAATGGTTGCAACTACGATAAAACTTCTGGAATCTCTTTTGTAGGAAATTTTCCGAGCTATAAATTTGGTGGTAACCGTTTTTGTCGTAGGACTCACGGATAATGAGATATTCGTTGACAACTGATATTCACACGAAGACTTTTGATATACTGTGATTAAAACTTCTTATTTAATATTTGACGTTTATAAATTTTCGAATTTTAAGTGTATACATTCTCAAATACTAAATGTATAAATTTTCCATTTTAAAATCTCTGAATGTCATAAATTTTCAAATTTTACAAGTATCTGTATATTCAGAAAGTTTACGATTTTCTAATTTTTAGATTTTTAAATTGTTTAAATTTACAAACTTCAAAGGCCTGAATTTCTAAATTAATAAATTTCTATATTTCAAATTTTCAAGTTTCCGAACTTCCAAATGCTGAATTTAGAAATGATGAATTTTCAATTCTTGAATTTTCCGAGGGATTTCCTAGGAATTTTCTTAAATTCCTATGTCCTCAAATTTTTAAGTCGAATTTGCAGATTTCCAAATTGCTATGTCCTCAAAAATCCTCAATTCTCCAAATCGATATTTCCCCAAATTCTTCATCTCCCAAATCCCTAGATTTCCAAATTACCATCATTCCAATTTCACACTCTTCAAAATTCCAAGATTACCAAATTGACACGTCCCCAAATTCCTAGTTTCCCAAAATCCCTAGGTCCCCAAATTGCTGTCTGCCCAAATTTCTAGATCTGCAAATTGTTATCTCCCCAATTTCATAATATTTCAAATTCCAAGATCTCCAAATTGCAATATCACCAAATTCTCAAACTGCAAAATTCTCAAATCGCTATATTACCAAATACCTAGTCCCCGCACCCTTAAATCTCCAAATCACATTTCCAGATTCCTAGTCCCACAAATCCTCAAATCTCCAAATTGCTACATTCCAAATTCTCCAAATTCCTAACCCTCCAAATCTGTACTCCCAAAATATTAAAATCCTCAAAAATACCTTAACAAATTAAGAAGCAGATTAATTATAGAGAGAAATGATTAAACGTGACACGAAACATCGATAGACAGATCGTGCCCGTTAGAATAAATTGAACGAAAGTATTGCTTCCGGGGAATCGGTTGAAAAGACGGGAGTAAAAGTGTTGCAAGCAGAACACGGGCAAAGTGGTTAGGTTCACGAGGTGTACGCATCTGAGAGCGAGCCACTCTTAGGCGTGGCTGCTCGCCCTACTTTCCAGACACGGAGACGACGAACCGTAGATCGAGAGTCACTTCCCTCCAGCAACGTCGTCACCATCGGTTTCCGATTCCCCGTGTGCTACCCGCCATCGCTGAACGAGACTTTCTCTTACGTCAGACATAGTCACGAACGGAGACCGCCCAGCTATTGCTCGTCAATCCGATCGGAAACGAATCAAATCAAAAGAAAAAGGGAAAAGAAAAGAGAGAGAAGCGATTTAATTTTCCTGGTTGGATCGTTGTCACGATAGAAAAAAAAAATACCAAGAGGGAGGATAGAAGAGATTGTAAAATCAAGCAAATAGATCTCGAACGAGGGAAGATCCCGGAGCTGAATCGACGTAATCGAACGTCTAACGTGAGTAACAGGAATCGGGAGAATTTAAGCACGCTGATTCGCGTCGTTACGATCCGATCGTTCAGTGAAAATCGATTGTTCGTGGCTCGGCCAAGTAGACCGAATAAAATTGCGAGCCGCGGTTGGATTACGGAATAAGTAACGCGGTGATCATGATTTACCGCGGAAAAGTGTGAACATCCGACCGGGAAGAAGACACGGTTGGTAAATCGGTTGTCCGTGTGAAAAGAAAGATCAACGACACCGATTTATTAATCCCTGACAGTTCTATGAAGCTTCGGATAAAGTTAGCAACCAGTTCTGTGTGCTCTCTTTCTTCGGAGAAGGGTATTTGAATATTTGATTTGTGGTCTTGAGAGATTTGTAGGATGTAGGTGACTTGAATAAGGAATTGTAAAAATACAGTGGGTGAGGATACGTAAGTGGGAATATGTCTTTGGTACGCATTCTTAAGAGGTAATTCTGAATTATT